GATAGCATCCCTTTTGAATGCAAACGCTTTAAACTTTCACTAGGCTTTTTAATGCTAGCACACTTACCTTTATTATTGATTGCATCCATTCCTAACATGGCTAAACCCGCCACCATAACTTCATGGTGTGTACAGCAGAGAAAACCTCTGTCCACAATGCGATCTTTAACACGCGTTAAAGCAGGGGCATCAGAAACAGATGGTTTGGATTTTTTCTTGTTCTTCTTTTTATGAGCAGAAGAAGCTAGCAAAAGAGACCAAACACTGAAATAAATCTCCAGTTGTTCCATAAACATTGCAGAATTCAAGCACAGCGGTACCACACCTGTGCCGGCAGACCGGAGTCTGCTCTCGGACTGCACCAGCTGGGAATTGTTCATGAAGATCAGCCTGCGATAGAGGTGACCATCCTCTCCTCTCACATCCTCTACAGAATACTCTCCAGTCAAAGCACTGACCCCTCGCCCGATGACTTCCCTCCACCCCAGATCTCCTCCCACAGACAGGAACGGCACCTATACCAGAGGAATTGTGAAAGAGAGTGCACACATGAGTAAGAAATGAGGACAAGATCAAGAGCAAATGCCGAGCAATGCACGTTGTTCCTGTGCACCTGCTGATTGGCTGGCATTCCAGGAGGCACGAGTTCCATCACCATCGGAGAGAGCTCTGATTGGACAGCCTGCATGTCCTCATACTCCTGATCTCTATGCATTGCCACAATGACCAGGCGTCTGAATTTTGCACTGGATGCTAATTGAGTCCGACCTTCAGCCGAGCCATATAACCAATCAGACTCACGGCCCTGAGGAACTAAAAATAAAAAAATATATTAATGAAAAACGTAAAATTGTATGTACACACATTCAGTGACACAAACAAAATAAAAATATTATAACATTTCATTATATCTGTTATAATATAATATTTATTTTTCTTTATGTGTCACAGTACTCTCGTGAATGCCGTTGAAGACTGACACGGAAGAGAAGAAACTTGAATAAACTCATTATTTTTGTTTTCTTTCCACACAAAAAGTATTCACAGAGCTTCATACAATTACAGTTGAACCACTGATGTCACATGGACTATTTTAACGAACAATGTCCTGAACTACCTTTCAGGGCTTTGAACTTGTCAGTTGTGTTGCTGTCTATGCAGGGTTAAAAAGCTCTTGAATTTCATCGAAAATATCTTAATTTGTGTTCGGAAAATGAACGAAGGTCTTACAGGTTTGGAACGACATGAGGGTGAGTAACTAATGACAGAAGTTTCATTTTTGGGTGAAATATCCCTTTAATTCTGCAGTTAACCAATCAGATTCAAGAATTCCATAGATATTTGTAATAGTGTGCAACAGTTCCTGCACACATTCTTCATTTAAGAGTTCAAAGCCATGAACCAAACCAACAAGTTACCAAGATGAATCACATTATTACAAATTGATTAGTTGATGTGAAGCAAGTAAGTATTTGAAAACTGGACAAAAAGGCACAAAAAAGTACAAAACTGGGAAAGAGCTACAATCTGATGAAGCCTTGCGAATGACTAAAATGTTCTTTTGGCATGATTTGCACATTTCAATTCCCTAAAGATTTCAGTTGCAGAATCATGGGTAATGTAGTGTTTCACCATGAACTTGATTGTTAAACATAATTATTTAAAAAAATAGGGTGAAATGACACATGCTGACAGTTTCAGCAAAAGCATATGCCACTGATTAATACCCTTGTAGCTCATAGTAAAACAGTTTTGAATGGTTAATAAGTTACCATTAAAATCCGTTCTGCTATGGAGAAAATGAATGGGATTTTTACTTCCAGAATCCAACTGCTGCACTCTGTATATAGGTAAATATACTTGGCCTATGACAGTGATCTTCGCAATGAAAAGGTAAAAGAACCAAATGCTCACCGATAAAGATGGCAAAGTGATTACTCCGTGGCAGCTTGGCAGAAGGCAGGCTATCCTGTACTGTCAGAGTGTATCGCGGTCGGCCGGTGGCTGCATGGCACAGCGTGAGGGACGGTGTGCTGCTAGCATCTGTTCCCCCTCTGAGCTTATGCAGCATTAGATTGTAGGCCTGTCTCTCCTTCACAGCGGACAACAGCTCCGGTACTGATACAAGTCTAGTGGGAGCGCCATCCTCCCCCTGACACAACTCAAGCACTGCAAACGGAGGCGCTTGGCGGAATTTGGTGCAGACCAGAACGAATACAGGGAGGGCGAATGAGGAATCAGACTCTTCCTTCTGCTGTCCGCTAAGACAATGAATTCGTACAGCCCAGCCCTGGGCGAAATGTTCCACAGCCAGCTTTATGACGTGCTCCTGGGCTAAAGTTACGCAGACATACCGGCCTCCCACAGACAAAACTCTGCCAACTTCTGCCAGCATCCTGCCTGCAAGTGCACCGTCCTCTTCTGAAGCCATGGCATCGAGCGTGCCCTTATCTAGTGCCGCCTGAAAGCTCCCGCTCTCAAAGCCTGTCTGGGTGGCATCCAGCTGCTGGAAGGTCAGGTCAGGACGGCGCTCTGTGTTCCGCTGGTTCATGTGCGACACCACCGTCTCGCTGATGTCAATGTTGGTTAACTGATGGTAGCCAACATCATAGAGCTGTTCACTCAGCTCAGAGTTACCACAGCCCACCACCAACACCTGCAGCAGAGAACAAGAGTTACAATTCTAATTATAAGTTTACATAACTCTTGTACAATCTACAAGACGTTTATTATTATTTTTATTTATCAGAAAAAATGCGTTTTTATTTCGGTTTCTTTATTGGCTATTAAAAAAATAGTTATTATTTACTGAAAATATCCCTGATATCCTAGCTCTTCTTAACATGTTCATGAAGGAATTACAAAATTATCAAAAGAATCATTCTGTAGAATCAGATTTTCAATGAATCAGTTGTTCTAGTTCACAAAACTGCCTTAGAAACTTATTTGAACCACTTTAATCATATATATATGGTACTTTTACAGCAGTTGTACATCTGAAATCATTCAACAATTGCATTGAACAGATCAACCGGTACAATTCTTCAAAATTTCTCAATTTTGTGTTCCAAAGAGGAAAGAAAGTAATGTTTGAAATTAAAGGAATTATGATACATTATAATGTTTTTAAATTATTATACATTTTTTAAAAGTTCAAAAGTTACAGGTTGGCATTTCAGTCATTCTTGAGATGTGGGACAAAACAGGTCCAGCAAGGGTAACTGCTACTAGCTTTAAAAAATACAAATATTTTCAATTTTAAATGTCATGAGGGATTAATAATAGAACGTATTTAACACAATTATCACCTTCAATTTAATTCTCTCATTATTATACCAAATCTGTGTTTCTTAATGTCCTCTCACTACGTCTAAAACAGTGTCCACAGAGAAGGGTTCAATCATTCATATGCAATAAAATGGATAAAAATGTTTTTTTAATGATGAAAAAGAGTTTGTTTTATCAAAAGCAACACTTAATAATATCTC